AAATATTATTATGGTATTCCTCGATCACACCTAGTTATATAAATTTGCCTAATCTCATCGGAAGCAATCTTGCATACTAAACACTTTTTTAATATGTTTTATAAATTTTAATCACAATCCTTGTCTCTCATTCTCAATACTTCATACTAGACGGGACCGTAGAGCTTTGATAAATAAGCTATGTTATTTACAATTTACATCATGTGAACAGAATGGCATATTGTATAATACCTTTGCTCTTTAATATAAGAGCTAGATAACTAATTGGGGGATAGTAAGAATATTAGTTAAGTTGATTATTTGTTAAAAATATGTGTTGATCTTCTTAAATTATTCTCTTCAATCATGTGCATTGGATGATTAATGAAATTATCCCTGAGTGGCAACATCTTAAAATCAATAGGAATCTTTTAGGAAAAGAGAGGAAACAAAATGAATTGATAAGGTCTTGTATTTAGGACTAAATTTAAACCCACGACTAGCTCTTACATTAAAGATTAGGGCTAATATAAAATTTTTCAGTGGTCAACGTTAATTTTTTAATGATAGGAGGACAAATTTGCTATTATTTTAAACTTTTACAACAACATTGAATCTAAAAAACCTTATGAATAGCCGGTGCTCCTGATTAAAAATTTCGAGACAAATTTGCACCTTAACTCAAGAGAAAAAGAGAATAGAACACAATAAAACAAAATAAAATAAAATACTTCTCAAACTCCTTATAATGCCCTATGGATATAAACAATTGAACTTAAGTTTTGTCCTGAAGATTTAGATAAGATGTTAGTGCCTGTTCCTTCACTCATGGAAAGTAATATTTCTAAAATTCATAAATGATTATGCTTAAATTATCTATTCACAGTTGACTTTTTACTGTAACTATCAAGCGTTAATGATTACTCGATTCTCATTAAGCACCGATATCAATAATAAAATTTATATTACGTATTATTTATAAATTTTGAATAGTAATGCAGCTCATTTCTTAAACTTCTTATGATATACATCAGAAAACATTCGCCGCATGCGGAATGCTCTTCTAACATCTTTTTTCCTCACCACTCAGTCTCATTAATATTACCAAAGCCTAAAATAAAAAAAAACTAAATTATTCCTAGGATATCATGAAATTATAATGTTGTGATAAAAGATGAAGAGACTTCACTTTATGGGGAGTGAAACTCATGTATTTTTTTTTTATGGCACTGTTACCATGGTATTTCCCAATTTCATTTATATGGGTTTGTCCAATCTTAAGTAACAAGCAATCCCTCATATTAAATTCTCTTTTAATGGGTTTTCTCAAATCTAAATCATAACCCTTACCTCTTATTTTAAATGCTTCATGCCAGGCGGGATGATAGAGCTTTTATAATCAAGCTATATTATTTACAATTTACAACATGCGAACATAATTATATTAAGATGCAAATTTGTCCCAAAAGTTTACTTAGAAATTCTAGGTACCTGAAAATTTTTTTGAGAGCAAATTTGTACTGAAAGTTTAAAATCATAACAATATGTTCCCTATCATTAAAAAGCTAATGCTGACCATTGAAATAGTGACGTTGATCATGAATATTTTTAACAATAGGGGAGAATATTGCTACTATTTTAAACTTTCAGGATAAATTTGCTCTCAAAAAATTTTTTTGGATACCAAGCACTCTTGAGTGAAAACTTTCGAGATAAATATGCACATTAACCCTATTATATACTATCTCTTGTCCTTAACAAGAGCTAGACAACTAATTTGGGGATATTAAAAAAGTTAGTTAAATTAGTTATTTGTCACTAATGTGTGTTGATCTCCTTAAGTTATCCTCTTAAATCAAGAGCATTGGATGATTGAAATCATCCCTAGGTACAACCCCTTTCAACTGATAGAGATATTTTGAGAAAAATAGGGAATAAAGTAAATTGATGAGATCTTGTATTGGCAAAATTCAAAGCCACAACTAGCTCTTATATTAAAGATCAAGGGTAGTAAAAAACTTTTTCAATGGTCAACGTTGATTTTTTAATGATAGGGGACAAAATTACTATGATTTCAAACTTTTAAATCTAAAATAAAAATTTTTTTGGATGCTCAGCGCTCCTAAGTGAAAATTTTGGGATGAATTTGCACTTTAACCCAAAATATAAAGAGAACAGAAGACAATAAAACAAAATACTTATTAAACTCCTTATAATGCATGAGAAAATATTGGCCCTCTGGACATGAACAATTGAACTTAAGTTTTGTCCTTAAGACTTCAGCTTTATCCTTAAGACTAATTTAGATAAGACGTTAGTGCCCGTTCCTTTACTCATGGAAAGTAATATTTCTAAAATTCATAAACGATTATTCTTTAATTATCTATTCACAATTGACTTTTTACAGTAACTATCAAGTGTTAATGATCAATTGATTATTTTCGTCAAGCATCAATATCAATAATAAAATTTATATCAAGTATTATTTGTAAATTTTAAATATTAATGCAGCTCATTTTTTAAACTCCTTGTCATACATAAGAAAAATTTGGCTCTCTCGGGAATGCTACTAGCATATTTTTTCCTCACCACTCACTCTCACCAATATTGTTATATTTAATTTCCTTTCATTTCTTTTGAATATTTTCCATAGTGGGATGTGTGACAACCGCTCTTTCAAAACCATTTTAGATTAAATCCAACAATTTATTTGAATGATTAACCATGATAGAAAAGAAGAAACCTTAAAATTTTAAAATCGCTATCATGGTTAAAAGAAATAAACTTATATTTCCAACCATACGAACTGATAAATCAGTTTAATATAAACTATAGAGCTCATTAGTCAAAAGTCAACACACTCAAAAGAGCATTATATGCAGAGTCTAAAATGTCTCGGACCTCCTCACGGCCCTATCATACCAGATAGTAGTAATTAAAAGTATTATTTTACATCATGATAGTAGATGAGCCCTATGTGGCAATATATAATAAGTCAGCACATAGAACAAAAGCAGGGAGGCTATACAAGCTAATCAGCACACTATGCCTCCGGAGCCTTCCCTGATGGGCCACCACCTGAACTATCGCCTGAAAATGTTAAACCACGGGGTGAGACAAACGCCTCAGTAACCAACTTTCCAACTCATCATACATACTAACACGTGCTCGTGAGGTGTCAAGTGGGACAGTTATTAATTCTCGAGAAACATAGATATATCCATAGAAATATAATTTCAATCATCCAAACCCTCACTATGGGGGCCAACACACAAGCCACATAAGTCTATCCCTCACTCTGGGGGATCAATCAAACATATGGGCCTATCCCTCACTTTGGGGGACGAATAAGAAGCCACAAAGGCCTATCCCTCACTATGGGGGACGAAAGAAGAAGCCAACCAATGTGCACCAATGGCGGCCTTACCACGTGGTAGGATAGGACTCAATCCCAAAATCCAAATAACAACCAATCATTCACAATATAATAAAAATGTCTCAATCTTTTCTCAGTATAATCAATAAGATATAAATCATATATCTTTCCAAACTTCTCAATCAGCATTCCAAAAATCCCACAAGACAATTTTCATAGCTCAAAAGATATAACATATCTATTCAAGTTCCAAATATCAAATATTATTCTAAAAATAGCAAAATACTCACAAACAACATATTAGCACATATAACAAGTGGAAAGTGGTTACCTCTCGCCAAAGCAATACTTAGGATTACCAGAAGGTCAATCCTATGCTCAACCAATAATTAATCTACACAATTAATATAACCACATATTAATATAAACTAATTAATTAATTAATTAAACTTCTCTATATTATTTAAATTCCTGATTTAATTAAATTTTACTTTAAAATCTCTCAACTCTCATAACTCAAAAATTATTAAGTATTTTAGAAACAACTTAAAATTTCTAACAACCCAAATTATTTATTTACCACCTCCAAATTATTTACCTTAATAAAAAGGATTTTCAACAATTTCCAAATATAAAATTATTATATTATAAACTCTAAAAATCCTCATTTAAGTTTAAACCTCAAAATCAAACTCTCAAAAATTTAATAATAATACTTCAAATATTTATAACTAAATAATATGATCAAAACTTTAATGGTATAACTACCATATATATATTTCCATAAATAATAAACTTTTTAGCTACAATAATTATTTTAAAACCTCCAGTCACCCAATAAATAAAAATAAACCGATTAAAACCTCAATAATATATCAAACAACCCAAATAAATTATTTAACTTAAATTTAATCGGTAAAAATATGGTATATCTCATACATAACAGATTTTTCACTAAATAAATTAATTTTAAATACTAAAACTAGCAAATAGAGAAATCTAAACCGATTAAAATTAACAACTCATTTACTTCTAAATTTCTATAGTCATCTTTTGTCAAAACTCAATACTTATATCATATATAAGTCTCAAAATTTTCCCTAATCACTAGGGTAATACTACTATTATGAAGCATAAAATATATATGAAATATTTATGAAGAAAGTTTGATGAAAAGAGATAATTTCATGTACCTAAAATATCTTCAAAGCTTGCCCTCTGCTTCACCGGTATGATTCTCTCGCTCACACACACTTCCTCTCTCTCTCTCCCTCTCTCTTGCTCCTTCTTGCACCTGCCGTGGAGGGGAAATGGGTTGTGGGGGGTTATTTAACACCCCCACACAATTATTGGGGGAGGGAAATTTCAACCCCAATTTCCACGCCCCCCCTCAATTTTCCACAATCCCCTCCAACTTTCCACCGAAATATCGGTGGAAAGTTGGACTTTGGTTTTTTTTTTTTTTTTTTTTTTAAAAATAAAATATTATTATATTATTTTATTTTATTTTTCAATTACTTTTTTTTTTTTTTGAATTTTTTTTTTTTTAAAGGATATTACAATTCTCCCCACCTAATAAGAATTTTGTCCTCAAAATTCAAACAACCACACACAAGAAATAAAAACAAAAGTAACTCAAAGCTTACTAAGAAAACAGGTAAGGGTACTCATAACGCATCCGTTCCTCTGTCTCCCAAGTAGCATCACCGGGACTCATGCCCTTCCAAAAGACTTTAACAAGACGGATAGTTTTGTTCCTTAATTGTTTATCCTTAACGTCCAAAATCCGCTCTGGTTCTGTTGGATAGGTCAAATTATCTCGCAACTCGACCTCTTCGGGTTCAATAACATGAGACGGATCAGGATGATACTTTTTCAACTGTGACACGTGGAACACGTCGTGTAAACTGGAAAGATGTGGCGGCAGCGCAATTCGATATGCAACAGGTCCAATCCGCTCCAAAATCTCATAAGGACCCATAAATCGGGGTGTAAGCTTCTTGGCTTTAATGGATCTACCAACACCAGTACAGGTGAAACCTTCAAAATACATGATCACCCACTTCAAATTCTAAAGGTCTCCTCCGACGATCCGCATAACTCTTCTGTCGACTTTGGGCCATCAACAACTTCTGCTTGATCAGCTCAATCTTTCTGGTTGTGATGTCCACTAAATCTGGGCCAATAATTGTTCTTTCACTTAATTCAGTCCAACAAAGTGGAGATCTACATTTCCTCCCGTATAAAGCCTCATATGGTGCCATCTGAATGCTAGCGTGATAGCTGTTGTTATAGGCAAACTCAGCTAATGACAAGTGAGTGTCCCAACTACCCTTTAGCTCTATAGCGCAGCCCTCAACATGTCCTCGAGAGTCTGAATCGTCCTCTCAGTCTGTCCATCAGTCTGAGGATGATAAGCAGTACTAAACTTGAGCTTAGTGCCCATGGCTTCATGTAATGACTGCCAGAAGTTCGATGTAAACCTCGGGTCCCTATCTGAAATGATAGACTCCGGCACTCCATGAAGTCGAACAATCTCATCTATATACAGCTTTGTCAATCGTTCTAACGAGTAAGTACTCTTGATAGGCAGGAAGTGCGCTGACTTAGTCAATCTATCTACAATTACCCATATCGCATCATAGCCAGCCGGGGTTCTTGGCATACCAGTAATGAAATCCATGGAAATACTATCCCATTTCCATTGGGGAATATCAAGATTCTTTAATAGTCCTGGAGGTCTCTGATGTTCTATCTTGACCTTTTGACATGTCAGACACTTCATTACAAAATTTGTGACATCCCTCTTCATTTTTGGCCACCAGTAGTTCCTTTTCAGGTCTTGGTACATCTTGGTTATCCCTGGATGTATCGTGTAATTACTTCGATGCGCCTCTCTAGAATAGTCCTTTTGATTTCCTCATTATTAGGGACACAAATCCTCTTCTTGTACCTCAGGATTCCTTCTTCACAATTTCATAATCAGGCATACCATGGTCTCCACTTCCTCTCGGATGCTTAGTAACCGGTCATCCTCCATCTGTGCAACCTTCAAGTCTCGAAAGAACTCATAATCACCCAAAATTGATTGTAGAGTGGCTGGAGCCTCATGCACCACTTGGAGATCTCTCAATCTCTCTAAGCAGTAGTGTTCCTCCAAACTCATGTGAAACACATGCACCGTTTTCCTACTCAAAGCGTCTGCAACCACATTGGCTTTACCCGGATGATACTTAAGCTCAAAGTCATAGTCCTTGATGAATTCCATCCACCGACGTTGTCTATTATTCAGTTCCTTCTGATCTATTAAATACTTCAAGCTCTTGTGATCGCTGAAGACTTCAAACTGTGATCCATATAAGTAGTGCCTCCAGATCTTCAATGCAAAAACCACCGCCGCTAATTCCAGGTCATGTGTAGGATAATTTTCCTCATGCGGCCTTAATTGCCTAGATGCATAGGCAACCACTTTCCTTCCTGCATCAGGACACACCCTAAACCCTTAAGTGAAGCATCAGTGTAAAGGGTGTACGGTTTACTAGGATCTGGAATAGTCAACACTGGAGCCGTGGTCAACTTAGCCTTCAGTTCTTGGAAAGCCGCCTCACACTTTTCACTCCAGATAAACGGTTGGTCTTTCTTGGTCAACTTAGTTAGAGGCATGGCGATCTGAGAAAATCCCTTGATGAATCTTCGGTAATACCCAGCTAAGCCCACAAAACTTCGTACCTCCGTCACAGATTTCGGTGTTTCCCATTTCAATACGGCATCGACCTTGCTAGGATCAACAGCTACTCCCTCGGCAGATACTACATGGCCTAAGAACTTCACTTCTCTAAGCCAGAACTCGCACTTGCTTAACTTAGCATATAACTGATGATCCCTCAATATTCGCAATGCAATGTAAAGATGCTCTCGGTGTTCTTCCTCATTCTTAGAGTATATCAGGATATCATCTATAAACACCACAATAAACTTGTCCAAGTACGGCCTAAAGATCCGGTTCATATAGTCCATAAACACCGCTGGAGCATTCGTCAAACCAAAAGGCATTACTAGAAACTCGTAATGTCCGTATCTGGTACGAAAGGCCGTCTTTGGGATGTCCTCTGCTCTAACTCTTAATTGATGATATCCCGACCTTAAGTCAATCTTGGAAAACACCGCTGACCCCATTAATTGATCTAGCAAGTCATCAATCCTAGGCAAAGGATATTTGTTCTTGATAGTCACTTTGTTCAACTGCCTGTAATCTATACACAATCTCAAGCTCCCATCCTTCTTTCTCACAAACAGTACTGGTGATCCCCACGGGGAGACACTTGGTCTAATAAATCCTTTTTCAAGTAACTCTTCGATTTGCTTTTTCAGCTCTGCCAATTCTGAAGGTGACATTCTGTACGGTGCTTTAGAAATTGGAGCTGTCCCTGGTACTAGCTCAATGGAGAATTCAACTTCCCTTTCAGGAGGTAAACCGGATATTTCCTCAGGAAATACCTCAGGAAACTCCTTTACTACCTCGATTTGGTCTATACCAACTTCTTTATCCGTACTAACGGAAAAGAAAACAGCATACGCTTGACAACCCTTTTGAATACACTTAGTTGCTTGAGTAGCAGACAACCACAAACGACCATTAATAGCCTCAACTATCGTAGTGCACAAAGGAAGAGTTACTATCTTCCTTTTACAATCCAAAATGGCATTATTTGCTGATAGCCAATCCATACCAATAATCACGTCAATACCCTTGAGGGGTAGACAAATCAAATCAATCACAGACTCACGATTCTCAAATTTAAGCACAAGACTTAAACACGCCTGTGTGGTTAACACAGTGGCTCCCGCTGGAGTTGACACTTTCAACATGTAAGACAAATCATGCATTGGAAATTTAAACTTTTGAGCACATTCCGCAGCAATAAAAGAATGAGTGGCACCAGAATCAAACAACACAGGTATATCATGTCCTTGAAGAGAGACAGTACCTCTAATCAGATTAGGAGACATACCAGCTTCCTCTCTAGTCAAAGCAAAAACTCTCCCGGGCACCGTGGATCTGAAACTAGGAGTTTGCTGCTGCGTCTCTGGACAATTGCGAGCTATATGTCCGAACTTATGGCATCGGTAGCATTCCCAACACTGTCCTGGGTGATTTCTCCCACATCTCATGCAAGGACCACTAACACTTGGTGTAGATCTGGCAGGCTCATGGTGGACACTCCGATCTCCCCCTATACGGCTCCCCTGAGGCTGTCTCCTTTGCATAAAGCCTCCACGGGCTGAATTCTTCTGATTCTGGTTCTTGCCTCTGCTTGAGTTACCTGAGCCCCATAACTGTAGTTATTCTTTTTATTGATTCCTCCCATTGGCCTCATAAAACCAGAGAATCTGCCCTGATTATCCCGACGTCGGCTCTCCTCTACCTCTCGGGTTCTGCGAGCTGTCATCCTGAGTTTCGTGCAGGCATCCTCGAAACTCTTAAACTCATATAAGGCCATTTGCTGCTTCAACTCTGGCCTCGCCCGTTCTATCAATTGTCGGGCCATCCATTCTGGATCATCATTCTGCTGCAGGTAGGTAACATGCTTGGAGAGGTCAATATACTTGGCAATAAACTCATCCTCATGCATGTTCTCTTGTCGAAGAGCATAAAAAGCTGTTTCTTTTTCTTGTCTCATGGCTGGGGGAAAGTAATGATCAAAGAACATCTGTTTGAATTCGTTCCAAGTAATCCCCGAGTCATCTATGCCGCTTACACTCCTCCACCACCTCTTAGCTCGATCCCTCAGTAAAACTACCGCTGCTTGTACCTTTTGGTAGGTATTACAGCCACAAGCTTTAAATATTGTCTCCATGTCATCTATCCAAGCCTCAGCTTTGTCAGGATCCATACCCCCATCAAAGTCTTTGGGTGATGCCGCTCTATATCCTTCCATACACTTTTAAGGTTCACCGCTTCTTCTTTTCCTGGTCGCCTTTGTGAACTACTCTCTTCTCTGGTTCCTTCAATAGAACCCCTGTGGGTGACAGAATTTCCCACAGACGGTCCAGGAAGCCCATTCCCTTCAAACTCTTCCACAGCTTTCTTGACTCTCAAATCTTCCTCCATCTTTCTTACTCTCTCATCTACCACCGTAACTACCACTTCCCTTAACTGTTGCAGTAAAGTCTCCTGGTTAAACTGCAGAGGATTCGGTGGTTGATTAGGTGGGTTTGTGGATTCATCTCCACCCTGATCAGTTTGTCGGGATCGTGTCCGTACCATCCTCCCCACCTAAGGATGGAACCCACCAAAAGAAACACAAAGTAAGGACAAACACAGACACAAAGTAATAGGGAAGGTTATGTGAGATTATTATATATTGCCACTAAATGCAATGTAATGCAACCCACTTCACAGAATCTTTGGCTCTGATACCAAATTGTGACAACCGCTCTTTCAAAACCATTTTAGATTAAATCCAACAATTTATTTGAATGATTAACCATGATAGAAAAGAAGAAACCTTAAAATTTTAAAATCGCTATCATGGTTAAAAGAAATAAACTTATATTTCCAACCATACGAACTGATAAATCAGTTTAATATAAACTATAGAGCTCATTAGTCAAAAGTCAACACTTTCAAAAGAGCGTTATACGCAGAGTCTAAAATGTCTCGGACCTCCTCACGGCCCTATCATACCAGATAGTAGTAATTAAAAGTATTATTTTACATCATGATAGTAGATGAGCCCTATGTGGCAATATATAACAAGTCAGCACATAGAACAAAAGCAGGGAGGCTATACAAGCTAATCAGCACACTATGCCTCCGGAGCCTTCCCTGATGGGCCACCACCTGAACTATCGCCTGAAAATGTTAAACCACGGGGTGAGACAAACGCCTCAGTAACCAACTTTCCAACTCATCATACATACTAACACGTGCTCGTGAGGTGTCAAGTGGGACAGTTATTAATTCTCGAGAAACATAGATATATCCATAGAAATATAATTTCAATCATCCAAACCCTCACTATGGGGGCCAACACACAAGCCACATAAGTC